TTGAATATATTTAGAAGAGGGTCATTTTTTTGATGAAGGAGATGGTGATCTGAGTTGGACTAGAACCCATGATGTGACGAGCTCGAACCAATAGCTCTCAAGCTTCTGGTTAACTGCTCTACCCCATGAGCTGTTAAACCCAATAACACATACGTCTTTGATTCCTCTACCAGTTACAACCAAGTAAATTATCACAGTAGATATTCAGAGACTATCAAGGTATTGGCATAGAGAGCCCATATGCTAGCGGAGGTCGAGCAATTCCATCCAGTATAACAACGGAGAAGTACAAGTATATAAAGAATGTGATAACTAATACCCGTTGTACAAGAGGTATCTGTTGTACTTCAGCGGTCTTAGTGGGAACATCACTCACTGGGATACAGATACATTCAGGTGACAGGTCCTAAACAGATCCCCTAACCCTGGATTCTTCTGCCAGCCACAATCAAGTAAGCAGATCGTCTGTTTCGACTTTCCCTGGTTTGTAGTACATAAAATCTCTATCTAACGGCTTATGATTATTAAGAATTATAACTGCAAGAGCTGTTTGACACTCGAATAGAATTATGTAGTGTCACTGAATCCAAGTTTCTTGGCGTAACTGAGACTATGATAACTGTGATTCACTATTAACGATGCAGTAATTTCACAAATCTATGAGTCTGAGAGAGTTATGGACAGGGGATTTCATTTCTTTGGATTAGAGCAAGAGATAGATCAAATTGAACCTATTTATGTGTAGAGTTTGTGCAATGTTAAAATCAACAGTAATGATGGTGAAAAATGTTTGTATCGGATCTTCGATACTCGAAGTCAGAATTGAAATTCAGTTTGTTCTGTCTACTCATTACTAAGTTGCTTTTCTACTTCTTCGTATAGCTCACTGAAATAAAGATGAACAATTGAACAAGTGTATCCCAGTGGATCAAACTTAATAAATAAGAAAGCTACTAAATTGGTCAACTGAATTCCATATATATTCAGCTCAGCTTTATGCATTGACTACTTTTAAGCTTTCCTTCTATTTGAATGGGGTCGAGAACCAGAGTGACTTTAAAGGCCACGTTAAGGAACTAGCTAATCAAAATTCACTTTATGAAACTGCCTTTCCAACCGGAATGAAGAAGCTTAATTGGCTAGCATAATCGTTGTTAGGGTGGTCTTCAAAGTCACCACCATAATGACTGTATACTTATTTTCATATATCCCCTGTTAGCTGACATTTTATAGCTATGAGTCATTGAAGTTTTGTCAACATGTTTCAACTGTAAAAACCTCACAATCTTCAAAATAGTTGCCGGCCTTCGTTTTTCAGTAATGTACTGTAACCAAGATTACTGCCACATAATGTTTCATGTTGCTTCTCTTCACTGAATTACATATCAATCCTTTGATTGCAGGCCCCAACTGGTTTGTTTGTTTGTTAAGTGTTTTTAGGCCGGCTTTGTCATTTGGCAATGTTTCGACTTATAGGGTTTGCCCTATATCTAGTTTAATGTCCTTTGTCCATTTTAAGGGCGATTCTAAATATCACCTTAGCAAACAACTAGAATGACCAACCAGACTTTTTTATTTTATGAAGATCTGCTTTTCCAGCCTAATTGAAGAAACCGAATTAGTTATTTCACCTTGTCAAACTCCCAAAGAATGGAGACCTAAGCTTTTGCAAGAACTGGCGCGGAATCATGCTGTTGTCCACTCCAAACAAAATATTATACTGCATCATCCTGGAGAGACTAAACGTTGCGCTGGATTCTAAATTACAACCGAAACAGGCTGGCTTCAGGAAGAACAAATCATATGCGGATCAAATTGCAATGCTACGCTACGCATCATCATTGAACAGAGTATAGAATGACAGTCAACTCAACTTAACCTTAACTTCATAGACTTTGAAAAGGCCTTCGAAAGCGTCGACCGAAAAGTAATTTGTCAGGCAGTTGCTTCAACACTACGGTGTTAGTGCTACAAACCTTTATCAACCTCATTCAACAGCTATATGAAAACGCCACATGCCAAGTGGTCGCCAATGGAAAGCCCAATGATGCCTTTGAAATGAAGACAGGGGACAGGAGTAAGACAAGGCTGCCGCCTACTAACACTGATGATCTTCTTGATTGTGATGGACTGGATCAGGCAGCAAACTGTGAGGAGCGAGAAGATGGGCATACGCTGGCTGGTCCGATGAAAAGACACCAGAAGAAGATTTGGATTTCGACGCCGATGATGATTTACGTCTAATGTCGCACAAACTCGGAGATCTACAGGCGAAAACTAACAAGTTGACAGAAGAGGCGAAGCAGCGAAAACGGGACTTCAAGTGAATGCAGAGAAGACGGAGTTGATGAAGATACCCAACCAACAACAACAAGGACAAAAAGTACCAGTCACCATGAACGGGCGAAACCTAAAGGAAGTAGTCTCTTTCATCTACCCAGGCAAAGCAACATCGTTTCAACTACAGGCGGCACAGACGAGGACGTCAAAGCCAGGATCGGAAAAGCAAGACAGGCTTTCACTAATCTGAAATCAGTGTGGAGATCTACTGCACTCAGCACAAAGAACAAGATCCGTATTTTCAACACCAATATCAAGTCAGTGCTTCTATATGGTTCAGAAACTTGGCGAGTCACGAAATGTATTTCTAACAAACTACAGACATTCATCAACATCTGCCTACGCTGGCTGGTTACTGAAGCTCAGATGGCCAGAACAATAAGAATAAGTAACAAGGAACTCGCCTGGCAACGAACTAACCAAGAACCTATCACCCACCAAAATGCAGCAGAAAGTGGAGATGGATTGGGCATACACTGAGAAGGCCGATTGGGGATATCACGCGCCAGGCCGTTGAGTGGAATGCATAAGAGAAACGATGAGTTGAGCATCCCAGCCGAGAGTGACATGGAGGAGGTCATGTGAGGAAGAAATGAAAGCTTGTGGGCAGTGGTGGAGCCAGGCTCAAAAGACTGCAGAGAACAGAGTGCAATGGAGACGTGCTACTGAAGCCCTATGTTCCACTAGGAACCCAAGGGAAAAATAATAATAATTGGTTATTTCGATTGTTGCTAGAATAACCTTTAAAGTCGCCTGAATTTCAAAGTTCACCTTAGCAACGACTGAAATAGCCAATTAGGTTACTTTATTTAATTAGAAAGGCAGATCTTCATAAAATACGGAACCCTAATCCGGTGCCTTCATTAGTTTTTAGGGTGAGTCACTCATAATGTTCAATTCCATGTCGGCTTACATCTAGTCTGTGAGGTACTCTATTGGTTCCTGTAGAAGAGAGTGGATAAGTTTGACATTAACAATTCACTCAGTCAAAACATGAACTCGATAGAAAGAAAAACGGTAGAAAATATAAGCTGATATCTTGTTTGACGCATAAATAACACTTTGGTGTACCACTAAGTAAATGCAACGAATAAAGCGGTTAACCAGGCAAAGTTATTTCTATATCGTAAGTATGTGTAGGGTATACTAACAATCTGTTGACTGTTAGACTACGATTTGTGGATAGGAATCAGGGTAGCCACGCAACACTGGTACTTAACTAGGCGATCAGAAGTAAAAATCCTAGTGAAACAAATGTGGCCGAGAAAGGATGCCTTGTATAACAACGTGAAATTAAGAGTATCAAAACAACAACTGATACCTGTTGCCCCAGTGGCGTCCGGCACCGGGTTCGAGTAACACTGCGGCACAGGCATATCCAGCTGAAGAGTCCCAAATAGGACGAAACTTGTATCCTGGATTCCACTACTAGTTACCAAGATGAACAAATTAAATAAGGAATGAATGGTGAATAGAGAGATGAGTCTAACTGCTTCATTCTCGGGAGTTGTTAAGGATTTCATTTTCAGTAATATGTTGGTTTTATCAAATGGCAAGCACTGTTAACTAAATACCAATGGAAACCTATTGTCAACTAGGTTGTATTCGTTTTGCGATCATATACCTCCCAGTCGATTGAGTTATTCCACTGCCCTATGGTATGTATATCTCACAACCGACTATCTGTCATCTTTTCTGTATTTCGAACATTTACAACTTTATGTATATTTGAAACAAGTTAGTCCTTTTTGATAAATTTCGATAACGCTATATTAGAAGACGAAGATTATCTGAAAAATGTGATGTGTATTTGCTCAATACATTTTGAACAATCTGATCCCTCAAACATTTACTTGTCAAATGAATGTAGACTAGGGTGGGTGAACATATAAGTAAATGGCTTGAAAAACAGTTTAACACACAAACTTTGATAAGCTCAGGTGACATCCTTTCATTTTCATCTATAGCAAAACATAATATCGAGATGAATCACAAGGTAAATACGAAAACACCATTCAAGATAATAGTATATAGGAGAATTATCAAGGGTGCATACTGAAATTTGCCGAAGTGTTAGTCATTCGTGAACTTAAGCTCCCATTGTGTATACAAAAGCAGTTTGTTGTTTCACTTACTTTACCTTGATAATCCTTATCTGATTATATATATATATATATATATATATATATATATATATATATATATATATATATATATATATATATATTACTAAGACTGGTGTCACAACCTTTTCAGATTCATTATATTTGACCTTCCATTTTCATATACAAATTTACTTGGCAAGTGAATGTGTAATCAGATTGTTCAAAATGTATTACGCAAATACACATCACATTTTTCAGATAATCTTCGTCTTCTAACAGCCTTACCGAAATTTATGCATATTATCAGTTGATATTCCATTGAATTATGGAGTCAATCATGTCTCTTGTATCCTAGATGTTATCAATTACCTATCGATAGTTATTAAAAATTGTTTTTTTCATAACTGATTTTTACAATACACATTACAACGAATAATGACACTTTGTACCTATGGTTTTTTTATTTCTTTTTAAATTGAAAGAATCCATTTTTGTTTTAATTATTATTCATTCAGCGTTTCACAACTTTTTGGTTCTCTTTTAAATGTTAATTAGTTATCAGAATCAACCACGGTTAATTGTAGCCGGTCTGGATGGTCTAGTGCATATCTTCTCTATTGATCCAGTTAATGGGGGTGAAGCTGTTTTAATACGTACTCAAAGGTAAATTTTTGTGAATGAAAATGTTGATTAGTTGTGCATCTTTTTCCTTGTATCACCAATGCCTGTTGACAATCGTGCTCTGGTGTTTATTGTTCTCCAGTCCAAGTCTACTATAAATTTGGCAGTCTGAAGTTATTTCAGCCTACAAATGAGAGAAGAAGAAGAATACAACTCTTCGAATGTATAGAGTTCCACATCCTACAATATGCATGATCTCTATTTATTTCATGAGGGGTAATGATGCTGTCTGGCTGTTTGAGTCTCGTTAGGTGGTGTTGAGTTTCAATCCGTGGTTTACAGACAGGACCACTGATGGATGAAAATTAAGGGGCAAACGTCACCGAGACAGGATTTTGGCAGTAGAAGAAAGCTTTTTCCTTCCTGTTTAGAAACGTTTTTGTATGATTCATCTGAATAACGAAACTAGTATCAGGATGAATCCACCGTCAACTGAGAGATCACATGCAGATTCTTGCAGTTGTGTAAGGGGACTGGCTGTCCACATCTTTTTAAATGGAATGATGTCCCAACGTTTGGTCCACTAGTTGAAAATTGACAGTCTAGATCAATAAACTAGAGCTCAGGAAATTCTGGGGAAACCGAATAACTTGGAAATCATATTAAAAAGTTAATTATAAACTCAAAAGTTATAAGTTCCCCTGGATTCTTAAATATGATCATCAGGTTGATGGCTCAACGCTTTGCTTATTTGTGACGTGAATCATCAGTCAATTATTTACCCCACTTTCGCTTCCATAAAGACTAAAATGGGGAAAATTGACTGGGTAAGCTACCTGATATGATGTATTTTGTTCAACTGGATTATAGTCTTAGCATAACGCAGACCTTCACTTAGCTTACAATGCGTACATCTAGGATTTGACCAACCTGACAGAAACATGAATGAGCTGAAATTTCTGTCAACTGATTAGTCAGTTCACTTGTTTTGAGATTCACATCGTGCCTCTAACGCGCTAGTTATTGACAAAATGTCGACATGGATGCAAAAATTATTCAAAAAGTATCACCATTTTCTTTCAAGTCGATGATATTAGAAGATGGTTACATACCATAGGTGTCTACTAGACGTCATCGTGATAATGAGCAATTTTGTGTTAAGGCGTAAGGCAGTAGACGAAAGAGATAAATCAGTCGATAAAGTTGAGAATAAGCGCCAACCAATATGGCTTTATTATGTATTACTATGAATTTTAGACGTCTTAGTAACTTCTCAGTCGTTCTTTTCATTACAAGTATTACTAATATCTATATTTTCTTAGTTGATGAGAATTCTATATATTTTACATTTTCTATTTCCCAGATTACTTTCACCTCACCCATCAAACAATCAAGCGACCACATTATCATCTGTAGCAATGAACCCCAATTCCCCGTATGATTCAAATTCTCTTCCACCATCAAATATTACCCCTGCATCATCAGACAATATTACATCGAAAAATGTGAATTGTATTCGAAGTGGTGGACCTCAACAACCAGGTGTCTATGCACTCCCGGCGTCTGCTGCTACCACTGTCAATCTGACTGGCACTAATGTTCCAGTCACTAGTGGTACTGGTAAAGTAAATACCTTTGCATCAGTTGTTGCCGGGGCTATGAAAGATGAAGGTAGTGTGTTTTGTATAGATCGATTTCTTACTTCTACTTTTATTCTATGTTTTGTACTCATTACACTGCTTAGTAACGCAGGTTCGAGTCGCTGACGGAACACCAGTTTCCTTATGGTTACAGATAATATGTCTTGCTGATTGTAATGCTAACAATCAAGAAACGTAGGTCAAACAGGGCTTGTTACGGATTGACTCCCAACATTTAACGCCAAAATATAGAGGATATTTTAATGTGTGGCTGTTAACTAGGTCTAGATGATGGTGACTGCAAAAATGCACAAAACCTAAACTTAAGCCACTCTGGTAACCATTTTCAACTATCAAAGACGAAATGTAATACGTCATGGTATTAAGCTGTTAATCAACATTAGTACAAATATATCAAAAATTGATCGGGATTTAATGGCTGCCCAGCCAAGTCTTCTTGTCCCAATCAAATCAAATTGAATTAAAGAGGGCTAGCGTCATATTGACTATCAATTAGACTGTTTAAGATAGCCATAGTTTCGCAGACTGGTATTATTGATGCGAAGTGATAATCTAGTATGTTTAGTTGGTAGAGCACTGGTTCGAATCGGGCGGCTACCGAGGTTTCCATTTTCCCCTTCGATCATCCCCCTGAATATCTGGATCAACCATTTACAGCTACATCTGTTATCATTCGACGATTAATTCGTGTTCATTCCTTCAACAGGGTGTCTGTCATTTAAGACCAGAATACCTAACTTTGATAATGAGTGATGCATGTTCAAGTTTTGCATCCGATTACGGGCACACTATCCTGATGATTACTGATAAACACAAAAATCCGCTCAGTCTACGCTTCCTGCTGATTGATTTCCAATGTTGAACAACATTTAAATAACTTTCATCATTAACTGCTTTATTTCATAGCAAATTAAAGTGCAACTCTGTTATATAAAGTGAACTCATTCTATGCGATGAGGAAATTAAGTTTCAATGTTTAATATTATTGTTATTATCTTTTGCGTATTATTTGATAAAAACAACAGCCATATACGTGTACCGTCATCAATAAGTCCAATCGTGTGTGTGTGTGTGGGAGAGAGAGATAAAAGTTGTATGTACATGAAATGCGCATACATTAGGGGTTGTTAAATACGTAATAGTAGAAGTTAAGTAAAACAACTAATTTCAACATTGTCTATGCCTTTTTTTAAGCCTTTCAATAAATAGTAAATTACAACCTTTGCATTGAATAATTGATGATCACGTCTGATGTTTGGTATATATTCATTTTGCATTGAGTTGTTTTGTGTGTGTGTGTGTGTGTATTTACGTTTGTATCGACACGTATGTATATATTCGTGAAGATATATACAATGCACCTTCATAGTCATGTGAACTTTACGTCTAACCATTATGTGGTTTTTTACAAGCCTATGTAAAGATTAATTATGATATTGTCATTGGTAGGCTATTTCTATTTGATATATTAGTGAATCAAAGACATAAGATCAAGAGGAGTGACTTTAACATCCACCCTAACAACTGCTGAGACAACCAATTGTAGTTATCTTTTATCAAAACCTAACTTTCCAGTGGAGATACTGAAACGGGATTGGTTACAGTTACCTGGGTAGCCTTTAAAGTCACTCATCAGGAGGTCTGTGCAGCAATCAAGCCACTACTGCGAGAAAAAGGGCGATTTAAGCGCCGCCCTGAGAACTACTGAAATGGCCAATCATGTTTACGTACTTTGTGAAAAACTGCCATTCTGCCGAAATCGAGAAACCTGATTGGTTATTTCAGTGGTTATTAGAATGGCCTTTAGAGTAACTCGAAGAAGGGAGTGATTTTAAAGGTCACCCTAACAACGACTGTAATGGTCAATTAGATTTCTCTATTTCTACTGGAAAGGCAGATTTTCATAAAATCAAGGGGTCTAATTGTTTATTTCAGTTGTTGTTAGGATGGTCTTTGAAGTCACCCGAAGAAAGGACTTCATCAGAGGTATGCAACCATGACCGACCATCACTTTGTACAATATGCTGATTGACATACAAAGCACCATTCGACTCCACCTCAACGATCCCTAATTCTCATTCATTCATGTTGTATACCACGAATTATGGTACAGTACATGTTGTACTCTGCCTTTAAACACCATCCATTTGTCATACAATGTACTGGAAAACTAGTTGTTCGAATTTTACTCAACGTTCTTCAATTCCAGTTATCTTCTACCAACTGTGGTTCTCTGAGACACTTTTCATTCTTAGTTTCGAGAATAAGCAACCTATTGTTAAGACATTAAACATGGAACCAACTGTATGAAATTTCTGAAGCAACGACTCCCGCCTAGAACTCTAAAATCACTAAACAGTTGCTCGGTACTTAATCCATTAGTCGGTGTCAAATTTCTCTCATTCCATCGTGGAATGTGATGATGACTAGGGGGAAAACAACTGTCTATTACTCCATGATTGTTAAAGGTTGTTTGTCCTACTATCATCCTTGTCCGATTGAAGTACTGTCTAAGTTCTACCCATCTAACCATATTTTAGAAATTCTTCCTTCCGATTAATTTGTACTTACGGTATACTGTATACAAAATATACATGTTTGTGCAAACCCTCCAACAATGCATGCGTACAGCTGAGGAGTCCCATTCTAGGACGAAACAGCTGTTCATTACTCCTAGATTTCCAGTGTTTCTCCCACTGATATCAATCCATGATTAACAGCAACCCGAAATCAATCAATAAGTCCTCACAAACCTGCAAAGTGAATTAATCTAGTCCTCATTGGTGACTTGCTTTGAGATGTAATTCCCGAAGTCCTGATAAGACGTGACCAGTGGGGCCAACCAAGTCGGACATGAGGACAGTTACTTGATGACGACATTGGATGGAGGTGGTGCTGTATTATAAACTGACAGAAGTAGAAAATACGAACCACTAGATCTCAGCCCAGTGGTTCAATAATAAGGTGCTGGCCGCGGAACCGGAAGGTCCTTAGTTCGATTCCCGATGAGATCATGAGTGCGCACTGCCGAGGAGTTCCACACTAGGACGAAACAGCTATCCAATGCTCCAAGGTTTTCAGTAGTTTTCCAACTGATGTCAGTTCGTGATGAATACTACCTCAAAATTAAAATCCCCATTAACCTCAAAATACATTAGTGACACGCTCCCAGATGGATATCCCGAAGTTCCAGTGAGAAGCCGTTACCTGTGGAGTTAACCAATCGGAAAGGAAGCTGATGCCAACTGAAGACCTTGGATGATAGTCGCACTATATTGCGAATTGACAGAAGCTGGAAACTTTGAACCACTAAATTCCGACCTAGTGGCTAGACGGTCAACGCGTTCGCCGTGAAACTTGAAGGTCCTGAGTCCGACCCCTAACCAGGCCGCAGGTGCGTACTACTGAAGAGTCCCATGCCGGGACGTAACAACTGTTTAGTGCTCCCAGGTTTTTAAGGATTTTGCAACTGATATCAGTCCGTAACGAACACCAACCTGAAATCAATCAGCAATTCCCCACAAACCTCCAAATTGAACAAATATGTTTCCTGAACTGTATTATTTACTTCTTTTTTATTTATGAATATCATATGGTGCATATCATATTCACCCATAGTCGACTTCATCTGGTCAAAGTGTGGGTGATCTGCGGAATTCACACCTCGAATAGTTGTATACCGTTAAATCCCAGATCACAGAAAGTTCATGGGTCGGTTAAATTCCGGTTAACGCCTAGGTGTTTCCTTTTCGACTGAAAAGAGCAATTATAGCTTGGGAAATTAGGGAAATATAACGTAGTATTTCGATAATTTCTACTTATGCCCCTCCTGACCTCAAACTGTATGAAGTTAAACATTAGTTTTACCGAAAACCTTGTAGTCTCCTACCAGAAGCAGCTTTCAGATATAACCATATTAGTGGAAAGTTCGAATGCACAAGTAAGAAGGCTAAGCCAGACAGGAAAACGTTTATTTAATGCTTTCGCAAACCCAGCTGAAACAGCCAATAGTGGCAGTTACTTTCCATCTACTTCTAACTAGCGCATACTTCAGACATATGGGGGATACTACCTCATCTGAAGGCAACTGATATCGCTTCAGAGGTAAGCAGAGAGAGATCATATCACTTTCACCTATTGATGAAGAAGGTCGAGCGTAGACTGTCTCTCCTGTCGCTACATGTACTTGGATAGTGTCTACCGGTTACTTTGAGCGAAGCCTAAAATCCTTCAAAAACATTCACAACCAATCATCGCTGGCAGGATATTCATGAAGTGTTACTTGGGGCTGGCTATCAGACTAGTTAATAAGACTTAATCAATAAGAAAATACCCTTCCAAAAAAGTATATGAACAATCAAGGTCATGGAAAATTTATATATACCGTTTAATTTTTTTTCGTTTTACCTTCCTGTTTTCGAGGAACCTAGTGACTCTCACGTGTGAAATCAAAAGGGTGTTTTTCAAGAGTCTACACGTATTCACATTATATCAATATATTTCAACCTAAATGTAAGTACGAAAAATACTCACAGTTGAGCCAGATGAACGCGCTTATGGTATTTTTAAGGGAAATTAACTAGATAGTTAACACATGGAGCTGGTTCAATTCGTGGTAAGTTGGTAGTCGACAAAATCTTGTCAAATCTTGATTGGCTTACACCACTTGTGGGACTGACGAATCAACCATTTGAACTACTAAGAGTTCATTGTGCTATGCAGCGGTTTGCTCTGTTGCACACTGAAACATACTCAGTGACAGACAGACAAAATTAGCGTAGCACCTCGTACACAAGTGCATCGGCTCCAGTCTCCACTCTTCGCAGGAGTATACAAGTGACAGGTGGATAGAAAAAGAGTAATATCATAGTATAAAAAGTTGTGTGGCAGAATAAACAATCTGACGATAAAGATTAGTTTGAATATTCACGCTTTAGATGTCAAGGCGTGAATACATCTCCACCATTGCGACTGATTTTCAACCATGTCACCAAGATTCCTCAACCACTTATTCCTTTCATCTCGAGGACCCCCCCTCCCTACATGGCTCAGACCAACAGTCAGAGACTTCATTGACTGATACCACGTGTTAGTGTAACCACTCTGAACCTTCTTACAAACTATTCCAAGCCCCCCTAGCATGGTAGATCGACGAAGTCGGTGACTCGGCATACACTATCTCATTCGACTAAGGTTCACAACCTCATCAATTGACTTGCCTGTCTTGCTTAGTACCCTTCGCCTGACTTCAACACTGCTCAAATGGTGATTCCACGAAATGCGAGCAATTCTACGAAGACATTTGTGATCAAAAGCCTGCAACCCCTACATATCTCTTACTTTTGACTGGCATGTCTCACAGTCGTATAACAGGACATAAAGGACTGCAGTGAGGTATACTCGTCCTTTGATAGGCAGTCGAATACCCCGCCAATCGGCGCCAGAGATGACGCAAGTTGGCAAATGCCAAACGGGTATTGTGTATCCGCGCTGAGCTTTCGTCAGCAACTAACCTGTTCGGTCTAATCCAACTCCCCAAATGAGTGAAGTGGTCGACATATTCCCCCCCCCCACACACTCAGTCCCTATCAATAAAGTGGTAGTACTTGCGACTGACCAGTGGTGGAGCTTTATCCTACACTGGATAGGTTCGAAACTCAAGCCAGCCGAACATACTTAGATTTCTGCTGAAGGCGTCTAGAGGACCCTGGAGTTTGTCAGCGTCCTCACCCGCCTGGCAGATCAATGTCTTCTGCATACTGCAAGCCAACGAGATTGCCCCTAGAATGTAGGTCAATCCGTTTGAAGTAGGAAATACCTAAGGTCATGTCCCTTAGTACGTCTGTGAAGAGGTCAGATAGGAGTAGTGACAGTAGACATCTCTGACGAACGCTACTAGTTGTCGTCAGTTCTGAAGACAACTCAACAACACAACAAATGGCTGTGTGATTTCGAGTAGAGAGCCTTGATTAGTTTTATATGCGTGGCCGGTATTTTCACAACCTGACACTACCACAGGAGCTCGCAGTCGACAGAATCAGGTGAAGAAATATGGCAAGTGTGGGTCATCATCCGGTAGGTGTGACTGTTCCAGAAACTATCTGTGGGTCGAAATATGATCTTTGCACCCTCGTCCAAGTTTGAAACCTTCCTGGTTTTTCTCCAAAGGAGCTCCAGTTAGGCGTCCGACAACTAAGGAGCCGAGGATCTTGAACACAATATTAGTCAAACAAATTCGCATATGGTTGTCTTAGGAAGACTTCTCTCTCTTTCTTTAAACTAGGCTGATCAGTGAAGTACTCCAGGATTATGGTAGTACCTGTAATTGTCATACACTGCCTAGTACGTCGGTCACTTTAAGCAGCAATTTCCTACCTCCATCCTTGGAAACATCGAGTGGCAAACTGTCAGGTCCTGCATGCTTTGCATCTTCCCACGTTCTCTACAGCCTTCTCAACTTCAAGGAGAGTTGGAAGACCGACATCTGCGTCCTAATCAGGTTCAGACTGGATGTTGGGCAGGTAGAGGGTTGGTTAGGGACAGTTGAACTGTGCTTCGAAGTGTTGTGCCCAACGTTGTAGCTGCCTGTCCTGAGAGGTTATCAGGATACGATGGTTTTCGATGATAGTTTCACTCACCATCGTGTTGTTCTTGTAGGTATCCTTAATAGGCTTAAATAGTTGCCGAGTGTTACCTACCACTGATGCTTTCTCCATCTCTCTCTCTCTCTCTGTCACCACTCACCACTGTTTGGGATTGACGCTAAGACTAATGGTCAACTTACGTTTGAGCTGCTTTCTCTCTTCATAGTGGTTGGAGGCAGCTGGAATCAGTCTTCTTGCATTGATCAGTTTGGATGATGTCACGGAAATTCATTGAGGTTTGCTATCCTTCGAGTGTAAATTACCAGTTGTCTTTACGGGTGTTTGGACAGCAGACGTAATGTGACTCCAGGTTTCCTAATGATGAGCGTGTCCAGATAAGTGTTTGTCTATTTCTTTTCTAAATTGGAACTTGAAATTCTCATCTTCCAATTTACGATAGATAGGCTTTAATATCCTCTGTCTGCTGCGACCAGTAGGGTGCAAGCACACGAGCCTGTGCGCGTGACTGGAGTCGAAACAGGCATTCGAGAAAGAGTGGGAATCCTCCACCGATCCTCTCCAACGATGACGTATAGCGTTATGATCTATGTGTCCATCGTTGGTTTGATGTTGACGGAGGCCATGTGAGACAGTGCCTGTCATTATCCCTGATGTTAGTGCTGTTCAGAAACAAGTGGTTGTCAGAGTAAAATTGCAGCACGATCACCGTCATCTATTCGTTGGCATGGGATTGCATGAATACCTCACAAATGTCTCTCTGATGTGCTGGGCTTCCCTACTTGAGCGTTAAAGTCTCCTGCCATAATGATAACATCTGAACTTTCTGTTATCTGTATCGAAGTTGACATCTTTTGATAGAATTCATCGTTTGTGTCATGTGTACTACTGTCGGTGGGTGTGTGGGCGGAGATGCTTCCTAGTCCTAACAGATCCATTCAGTCGAACAACATATGGACGACTGTTTACGAGTAGGATAAACTTGTCTTTTTGTTGTAAATACAAGGTTACTGACTGATTGTTCTTTATAGTTGGATGTAATTTGATTCATCAGTTACCATTGTTGTTCTGTTTTTACTTTATTTTTACATTGTTATCTCAACTCCCTTTTTAGGTGTCTCTATAGGCGGTCATTCTCAATCACGCAATCTCCCTCCTTCTAATCCCATTACAGAATAAGCTGCTGAAAATATCGATTTATAGACGTGCAAGCACATAGAATGTTCACCAGTAGAAGTGTCCATGCAGATTTACACTTCAGTATACTGAGGAACTACTCGAATGAGAAGAATACTCCATTCTAGTTAACTATTTGACTGATATTCATCTTTGCTGGCTCTGTATTGGATTATACTTGCAAACCATTCTGTCATCTTTTCATTATGTTGTCTCCTTGAAGAAAAGTTGTATAATATGATTTGCCCGCATTATATTTTGTTTACCAATTGATACGTCTATCATGTCTCTGCTGTAATTAGTTATGGTGATGGTTGTATTGTGTCTTACCTTTTTTTTGTTGTGCTCATATCTGTTTATTCAGTCTTGCCTTCCAAAGAGTGATAACACGGAATAATACGTGGAGGCAAACACTTATGCATCACTCATTCATACTACTCATAACTTGCTACTGTTTATTTTTGCACATTTTATCATTTATCATCGTTATGTCTTTCTTAATTTCATACAAGCCTTTACCTTGTCTCATACATTTTGCATTATTATTTATTCCGTCTATGAAAACTGTATTTTCTGCTTCTTTTGATATACACATCTATTTAAAACAGTCATTACTGTGCACTATCTACTATATGGCTGTAGTCAGTTATCTCGTTTTATCCTATTTTGTTTTAGTGTGTATTTACTTGTAATCATGTGTCTCATTTCACATATATTTCACATGGATCTGGATACCATGTTTTATTTCTCTCAGTTAAAATAATTTAATGAATACTTTAAATTCATCCTCTATACTAAATTATTGTTATTCTCAATAATTCTTATCAATCTGAAGTTGTACTTTTTTTGCAAATATTGTTTAATTGGAGGGTTGGATGGTAAATGGACAAAGGGGAGTTTTGTACAAATTCTTAAAAAAAATTAACTATTCTATCTCCCCTTGTAAAAGAGGGATGATTTCTTTTTTGTTCCTTTTTTTCAAGTCAGTATTATTACTGCTAATATTTGGATTATTATTGTTCTTGTTGATATCATTCTCATACGTTTTAAATTGCCTGAATTATGATTCACGTTGTTTATGAATGAATAGTTCTCCGCCTACGTGTTATTTTGTCACTTTTCAGTTCAGCTACTTATAAGTAGTTGGATGTTCAACCAAGAATTTAACGCAATTGCCGTTGGTAATCACGATTCCGCAAACTAGTCTTTAGATAATCTGGTAATGATTACATTTGAAACAAAATCCCAGTATGATTTATTGATCCTCTGGTTATAGACACATTATCTTACTTAATAAGCTCTGAGATCCTGAAGGACGATACGCCACGTGTGTATTATTGATATCAGGGTTTCATCGATGATCTCTCTGTCCAGCACCCAGCATGTAATATAGAATTAAGTGTATATACACCTGTTTCAAGAGTTGATGCATATATTGTATGCTTAAAAACTTCCATCTGCACCCATTCACAGAAATGCATCTACTGGTAGTCTTTATCCAATAGCTTATCTGATAAGGTATGACTAAGATTGGTTCCTTGTGAAGTCAAGGAGAAAGGTTAAATTTGCACATCTAGTGAACCTTATTTGCGACGTATTCCATGCATTAGTACACTTGTACATTATATTTGGTGCAGACAAGTTTCTAAGCAGTTTGAAGGTTTGTGGGGATATATTTATTGATCTTAGGTTCGTATACATCGTGGACTGATGTCAGGAGAAACATGGGAGGACTGGAGAACTGTTTCGTCCTAGTATGCGAACTGCTGAGAAGCTCCGCACTAGGATGAAACAGCTGTCCAGTCCTCCCAGGTTTCAATTTTTTCTCCAACTGATATCAGACCATGATGAATACTGGTCTGAATTTCTGAGCAGTTATATGGTACATATCCACATCCCATGGGCTAAAATGAGTTTAAATTCATGAAATCTTTTAATTGGCCATCAAGAACAAGGTCCGAATTTTCAACACAAATCTCAGTCAAATCAGTGCTTCTATATGATTCAGAGACTTGACGCATCATGAAAAACGTTTCTAACAAACTACAGACGTACGTCATCAACAGCTGCCGCCTACACCCACTCGATACTGAAGATCAGATGGTCAGAATAGTAAGAATAAGCAACAAGAAACTCTGAACTGGCAACGAACCAACCAAGAACCTATCACCCAACAAATATGCCGAAGAAAGTGGAGATGGATTGGATGTAGCACATATATTGAGAAGACCGTTCGGGGACATCACGCGCCAGGCTCTCGAGTGGAACCCGCATGGAAAACGACGAGTTGGGTGTCGGAGGGTTACATTGAGGAGATGGTGCGAGGAATAAATGAAAGCTTGTGGGCAGTGGTGGGGCCAGGTTGAAAAGACTGCAGAGAGGAGAGTGAAGTGGAGGCGTGCTACTGAAGCCCTATGTTCCACCAGGAACCCAACGGACAAATAATAAACTAATTGGCCTTAATATGCAGAACCTCTTCGGAAGCTGAAGAGTGCAAACTGGGTATGAGATTCGTTAGATTGTCATTCTGTTACTCCTGTACTTCTAATAAAAGGCCTTTTTATGTGAAAAAAGAAACCAGAGTGATAAATGGCAAACCAAGTTAGTTGGAGTTTCTCTTCTGATAGTTTTCGTGAGCTTTTACCTCAGTCATATAACGTTCTTGGATGCATCCATAATTAGCCAAAGAAAATACGATATATTCGATTTCTTCTAGACTACACGGCTACATGAAACCATCTTCAACGCTGCTGGAAGCACACTCAACCACCTTGTGCACATTCGTACAGTGGATATTGAGCAATACTTGTTGTGTGATGTAAAGTGATACTACTTAACTACCTAGATTTCGGTTACTTGGACTGAAACCCGTGGGTAAACCGTTAGCAGTCCTCTCCCGAAGCCACTTAATGACAGCTGTATGTAGTGGTAGTATGCGTATCCCTGAGTCTGTTGGTTAACTAGTGTACAACGGAATTTCTTCTCAATGTATACTAACAAACATTTCCCGAGAGTCAACGAGTGAACTAACTCTTCTTTTTCAATAACTACATTTGATTATCGCCCCCTTTAGAATGTGTATATTTGATAAATTGCGATTTTCGGTAGTTATTTCCTTTATTCATTTATAAGGTTATGGTCATCCACTACTGCATGACGTTGGTATTTGAGCTTTTAAAAGTTCGTATTTTGACAAACTCTCTCTAGTGCCTCTGATACATGCTTGGCTGTAAAGTAGACTGAGAATACAAAGGACGTCTAATATCTTGAAACACCATTTTTAAAGTGCATTTCACGGTCTATGATGATGTCTCATGATAACTGTTATCAGTGTACACTAACTCCTGTATTGTCATACTTCTTAACATCTTTGTCACTTTCACGTCGAACATTAATTATATTTCAACCTCTATTTTTTTAATCACTTATGTGTAAATGCCTACAAGATCAAGTGTCAGAATGGTACAGTCTTTAAAAAGTGAAATTGATGTAAACAGTTGTTCACAACAGACATTTCTAACTGTACCTATTCCAGGATGATTAGTTTTCATTTTCTAATAGGCTTTGGGTGGTATGTACCATGCATTTTAAAGGCATGACTTCATAAAGCTTTGAGCATCATCTTTTCACTGATCATAGCATAGTATTCTATACAGGCACCGAAACCACTTAATGCTAAAAGGATCCAGTTTTGGTTCATAACCCGGAGCCAGCCTTAAATACTTGAGTAACTAATGTCTAATTTCCGATCATGATGGGGAGACGGAGACATTTAAAGTCAACAAATGTCACTTTGTTCCCTAATCACAGTACTACTCAATTAACCGTTGACTGGCATCGCACCGAAAAATGGTTTTTGAGTTCTAGTTTAGCATTGTTAGTACCTATACAACTAAGCAGCAAGGTTAAAAACCTAGGTACACAAGACAGCTTTTCGTCCCAATATGACACTCCTCCGCAGTACGCACCTGCAACCCTACAAGGGAATGTTCTCATGGCGATCACGATGCCACTTATCCATTCAGTTGGCATCCGATAGTCCACTAATTCCTACTTTGTTAGTTCATCACATAGTATGACCACAATCTAATGTCACCAGTGGCATCTGCTTCACTCCCAGCTTGGTTAAATTTATAGGTCACGAATTCTCATGAGGACTTCAATAAATCCAGACGGATTAGGAATTTCGTTGAAACTGACTGATTTTTAAGTTATCATCACCAGTGACTGAATGGTAACGTGCCGTCTGTGATGTGTAGTACCTCTTGACTTGGTTCCTCACGAGGTTGTTATTTGCTCAGTGCTGAGAAGTCACAAGCTAGAACAAAACAGCTGTCCTATTCACTCAGGTTCCCAGTAGTCCTCCAGCTGATGTGTGAGATAAACAACTTTTGGATGCCTTGATATTTACATTAACAATTTTGTACTACTCAAGCATTTTAAGTAGCACGAAGTTGTCATCTCAAATATTCAATATCTACGATGATGGGTTGGCAAAGGATTGAGAAGAATTATTTCCTCGGCTGGAATGACAGTCCGCTAAAATGCCATAATTAATTTCTGCTTTTTTGACAAATTTCTGAAACCTACAGAATTAGATGAAGGAAAAACAGTCTGAAAGTGGTAACCTTCTTCTATATGCATACACTTAAAAACATGGTACACGTTTTTTGAATATCAATCAGCTGTTGTTTTAATTCAGTAAGTCACGCGATTTCCCCTTGTGTGAAAGTAGATAAATGCTACTTATGCGGAAGACTGTCATATAAAGAGAATCGGGTATTCTCAAGAGCAAAAATGGGAACAAATTAATTGCATTTAGACAAGATTTTGAAGACGAAAAAAACCAAGCAAGAGTGCATAATTCGATGATGGTCAGACAAAGTGAATGCTGAGTTCAGCAAAATGTGTAATATTCAGCGGTTCTAAAGACCCCATTGAGGCCCTAAATACGCTGCTGCGTAGGAAAATGAACAGAATAATGTGTATAAGTTCAGCAACATTAGTAGTCAGATCAGACGGCATGCGAATCTGTAAAAGGAATCGACAACTAAGCAGTATTCTATATTAAACATTTCAAAGCTGATTTAGAAATCGGAACTGAAAATTGGGTGACTTAGGCTTCGAGAGCATTACACAATTTTTATCAAACTTGGACGCAAATGAAAGTTAATAACATAAATGACTGTAATCCATGGGTTAGAGCAGACTGATATGGCTAAGTATTTATTTAGCAATTGATTGATTAAGTTTCTCCCTTTTTGGCGTAAACGCGCAGCCTAATCTGGCCGGTTTTTCAGTCAGTTGTGGATAGCAGAGGAATCCAGGATGCTCCTTTCGTCCCGTTTGGGACTCGTCAGCTGGGTGTACCTGCACCCTAGTTGTTCTTTTTCATATGCACTGGAATACGAATCAGGCTAAACAATTTACTACCGTTGTTATTATTGTTCGGAATGCTTTCTGGTTGTAACGAATAACTCTCCGGTTTTACAGCTGACAAAACATATCTTACACATGTTACAAAATTGAGTGAGGTAAAACAGATGGCAACTTTAGGTAATATTATGTTAATGAGAAGACAGAGCAGAAGCTTGAGCACTGTACTACTTAAAGGCTGGAGGACTGGAAGTCAAAACAAAGAAACTTGAAGACTTCATTTTCGAATTCGACTGGTTTTTCCAAAAGATCCATCAAAGTATGCATTACAGACTGACATAATTAGTCAGTAAGCATGCGGACAGGTTAGTAGAAACTGCTAGCAAGATCAAACTGGTCTAATGAGTGGACCACTATCTGCTCACTTGAGACCAGGCCAATCTTTTCAGAGAACTGAATCACATAAACCACCTTAAAATTATCAGCTACCTGGATGGACCGGTAGTAGGTAAAATTCTGTGTTTACATAAGCGCAGTACAAATCATTTGGAGTGATTTTTAACCACTGTTGTTCGGTATCATATAGTGTACAGTTCTGCCGCCTGTTGCGGAGTAGATCACGGTTTGAGATTTGGAAGTCCCCACTTTCAAGTCAAATCATGATAGAATTCACAACTGGATGATAACTAGCTGTGTCATTCTCACTATGGACTGAGAAATAAATA